TTATTAAAATCCTTGGACTATTTCTTTATTTGGAGAAACTACAACTACGGAGAAGAAGCAATCAAGATGGTTTGAGTGGATGGAGTCAGCGCTAATTGCATGGGCAAAATAAGAGGTGGAGATCTGTTTATTATATTGAGTGGCAATGGTTGAATATTCCAAAGGAAAAGGGCTAAAGACTACTACTATAAAAGGGAATCACTTTCTTTATTTGGAAGACGAATGAATGAACTGAAAACTTGGAAGAAACACTACAAGAAAAATGCACATAGACAACGGTTAATAACCGTTGTATTTTTTAGAAACAACAACAGTTTTTTAACCGTTGTCTATTAAGTGTTGTTGAAGCTGGTGTTGTTGTAAGTCACGCACATAGACAACGGTTAATAACAGTTGTCTTTTCTAGAAACGACAACGGTTTTTTAACTGTTGTCTATTAAGTGTTGTTGAAACCGGTGTTGTTAAAAGTCACGCACATAGACAACGGTTAATAACCGTTGTCTTTTCTAGAAATGACAACGGTTTTTTAACCGTTGTCTATTAAGTGTTGTTGAAACCGGTGTTGTTAAAAGTCATGCACATAGACAACGGTTTTTAACCGTTGTCTTTTCTATAAACAACAACGGTTTTTTAACCATTGTCTATTAAGTGTCATTGAAACCGGTGTTGTTAAAAGTCACGTACATAGACAACGGTTTTAAAGCGTTGTTGTTTCTTTCAAAGACAACGGTTTTTGACCCGTTGTCTATTCAATGTTGTTGAAACCGATGTTGTTAAAAGTGATGCACATAGACAATGGTTTTTAACTGTTGTCTTTTCTTTAAAAGACAACAGTTATAAATTGTTGTCTATTGTGTGTTGTTGAAATCGCTGTTGTTAAAAGTCACGCCCATAAACTGTTGTCTTTTGTAGAAAAGACAATAGTTTCAAACTGTTGTTTATTGTAAAATAGACAACGGTTTTTAATCGTTGTCTCAACCCATTTTTAACCTGCTTAAATTTTAATCATATAAAAAAAATCAATTTATCCATTCACCATGGCCAAGTATAGTTACATAATTTTGCACAAGCTAAGCAAGGTTCAAAATAACAAGACTAAATACTTTCATGATCAATTCTAATCGAATCATCATCCAAGTCATAATACTACAAAAAACAATTCCACGAACCAAGTCTAAGTGATCAGAACGTCTATTTCATAATATATTACTGACAGTATAATCAAATTAATAGTTTTATCTAATGATTCTAATCACCTTTGATAAGCGCTGGATCTGACCATAGATCCAGAATCCAAGAAGGCCAACTCTAAGACAAAACAAGAAAACAGACTCAACACTGAGAAGACCTCCAGGCTCAATCACTTCAATAGTGCCATTGTAGAATGTGTTTTGGTAGGGATGCTGGTCTATTTCATAAACAATGCTCCCAACAAGATCAAAAGAACCAGGCTGCATTAGATAAAAGTGAAATAGCTTAGTGAAAAAACAACAAACTTTGAAAGAAACACTGTTCAAGACAAAATAGGACAACTGGGGGCATAAAGTTTACAACTAAATTGACCTGCGAAAATCTGTTGACACATATATGTATGGAAATGTTGCTTGAGCAAATGAGGGAACTCTTGACATCAAGAAAATTTTATTTTAAGAAATTAAATTGTGTGTGTACAACATCAAAATACTATGAGAATTGACAAAGAACTTAAGAGGCTTGTCCATTTAGCCACCATGGATAAGAAGAGTCAAAGACAAGGAAAGGTTTGAGAAAGTGGGGTCATGTAAAAAGAAAGAAACAATAGAAAGGGCAAATATGAAAATTCAACATAACCTAATCTGCATAGAGAGTAACGTAGGCAATGCTCTCATACGGATTTTGGGGCATGCAATCAATATCATGCCAAAGGATATAGAACTGCATCAAGCTATCTTCTAAAAATAAAAAACAATAGTAGCAAAAGAAACAATTTCAGTACTCATGTCAAAGGACATTATATACATGTGAATATACTATTATTGTGTTAGGTATGCCCTTTTTCATCAATTGGTTTGCCACCTGGTAGATAAAAATAGTGGACGATATACTCAAGTATAATTGAATATATAATAATTTGCAATTAAAGATCATGCATGCACTCTCACATATCAAAGGTGTATATTGAAGCATTTAACTCACAATTTCTACTACTGTAAAAGTAATAGAAATTTTAATTATTCTAAACTACTTTAGTATACGGCACTTTGTGGGATTAAATTGAGCTGCACAGACTGTACCTGGTTCAGTAGAAGCGTATCTTGAAGTTTGTTATGGCATGCACCGTTCAGTCCTGAATAGGTATTAGAAAGGGTTGTAGTGGTAAAGGCTGAGAGAAACTTGTACTTACCTATTGTAATACTCCTTGGTGAACATCTATAGTGTGTTGGGCGTCGGCCGGGTTGGCCGAGTCCAGCCCCTGCTCGATTCGAGAGGTGGCGTTGTTGCTTACCATGGAGAGATGTGGTTAAATGGTTAATGTCCACCTACTTATCACCAATTGGTTTTAAGTAGGATATGGCAACCAGGTACCATAGAACTTTGTGGTTAAGCATGCTTGACTTCCGGCAATTCCGGGATGGGTGACCCCCTGGGAAGTAAGTATAGTGCAGCACTGAGATCCAACAATTGGTATCAGAGCCGAGGTCACGGGTTCGGATCGATGGTGAGGCGAAAGCCGAGTCCAGTCCCAGGTGGGATGTGGGCGTAGGCGAAGGACCGAGTCAAGCTTGCTGCGGCAACTGGGCTTAGTATTCAAAGGTTGCGGCAGTTGCTGGGAGGGGGATTGTTGGGCGTCGGCCGGGTTGGCCGAGTCCAGCCCCTGCTCGATTCGAGACGTGACGTTGTTGCTTACCATGGAGAGATGTGGTTAAATGGTTAATGTCCACCTACTTATCACCAATTGGTTTAAAGTAGGATATGGCAACCAGGTACCATAGAACTCTTTGGTTAAGCGTGCTTGACTTCCGGCAATCCCGAGATGGGTGACCCCCTGGGATGTAAGTATAGTGCAGCGCTGAGATGGGTTGCCCCGCAGACGTAGGAGAAGCACTCCGAACTGCGTAACAATTCTCTTGTGTTATTGTACATAAAATTCAAATAGAAATATAAGTTACATTTTGTATTCTAGATTCACGATGCAATTTCAATATATATATATATATATATATATATATATATATTTAAAATATAAATGATATATTTTATATTTAGTTTATATTTATATTATAAAAAATATATAAACTAAGTATATATGTGAATTAGAAAACTCTAACCTCCAAAATTATTTCCTATCTACTATTCGACTATTCCGTATTTTCATATATGTCAGGTTGTGTTGTTAATTTTGTTCGCAGAGATGCCAATCTGATAGCTCATGCTTTAGATTAACATGTAAGTGCGGTGTCGGCACAATATGTCTAGAGGGATGCTCCCCCTCCGTTTGTTGACATTTCTTTGAGTTAATGCAATCCCAGTTTCTTGGTTTCCAAAAAAAAAAAAAAAGTAAACACAATAATTTTTTCTAACTTCTTCTATTTAAAAGTTTACACAAAGACTTCCTTGATCACTGAGCCGGACAGCCTTCGTAGGTTTTTCAACTTCTCAAATTTACTCTGCCTCTATCAACTTCTTCTTCAGAGTTGAGGTTGGTAGAAAAAGATTTCTTGATTTCTCCAACGATGAAGTCTTGACTGAGAGATGATTGCTTCGAACAAATTGCAAGACTTCTTTTGAGGTGTAAGAAAATGATCAAAGACCTTCTTCAAGTAACTTAACACCTCAATACTGGTTCACAAAAACTTATGGAAATTTTAAGAGCGTTCAAGAGCTTTTGCAAGAAAATAAGTCGAGTGAGAATGAACCAGCACCTTCTTAGTTGATGAAGGTGGGTTTATATAGGTGATGAAAATTCATCCGTTGGAGGGAGATGAAATTTTCGAACCTTTTAACCAATGGACAAGGACCTGGGAGCTTCATGCATTAAATGCTCCATTAATGAGGTTGTACCATGTAGCCGTTGAAGGTATGGAAAGTATTAGGGTTTTGTCGTTTAGCTCCAAGAGATGGTACATCTTCATTTAATGCTCCTTGATAAGTGTGTCCCATAATATAAAGTCCTTATTGTCCTAGGATGTTGTCAAATCAGACAGGTAGAACATTCTTCTCGTTGTTGAAGAGAAGCAATGCTTGGTAAGATTCGTCTTTAACAAAACTGTCCTTTCGTGATAATTGACAACTCCTGCTTTATCTTTCGTTGTTGTTCGTCATGCCTTGTGTCTTCTTTCGTCTTGGAGACCCTAACATCTAATCATAACTCATTTTCGTGTGTTTGTCTAGCTTAACACGAATTACAGAGGAGTTATGGCAACTCTCGTCTAGGACGAAAGCAGCGAATAGAAAAGCTAAAAGTTAGGGGTCTATTTTTCTACATTACATTGGTATCATCAAAATCCTAATACAAGGTTCCTAACAATTTCCCCCTTTTTGATGATGCCAAAACCTATGCCCTTCTTGTAAGACTGAAAAGGATTCCATAAAGAATATTTCTATTATAAAAGCAGCCTTACTTGAGAGTGTACAAGTCCTTTCTAGGATAAAAGCATTTAACAAATAAGACAAAGACAAATAACTCAGACAAGTGACATGAGATGTGTAACAATGAGAGTTTCATATATAAGATAGTGAAGATTACAAAAACTTTATGATGAAAACAACAGAACGAAAGATATCTTACATTTCTAAGAGCTTTGACTTCTGTTGAGCAGCTTCCTTAAGTTCTTTGTCGTCCTTTTCTTTTTGTTGCTTGAGCATCCTTTTAAGATCTATTCCCTCATTGATCTTTTTCCTGAAAACCTTGATTGGATTTGTCCTGATAAGCTCTTCATGTTCTCCTTTGATGTTCGGGCTTGTGTAATTGTTATAGACTTCACAAATGTTTCTTCCTTCATGCCTTCTTGATAACTCTTTCATGACTCTTTGTGCACTTTGAAAGCTGCATTGTGAATAACATTCTGTGGAGAGTCTTTGGTTACACTAGAAAGATCTTCAATGAGATTCCTGATCCTTTCCCTTTCCATTGCTTCATCCTCTCTTCTTTTAATTTCTTCATCGTGTTTCTTCCACAGCTCTCTGTTTTCTCTTTTGATCCTTTCGTTTTGGGTGCTAATGTGATCTTGCCTTGTATGGTTGTCCCTTATTTTAAGCCAGATAGGAACATTGCAACCCTCAAAACGTTTGCCACTTCCTTCTTTGTATGGAACAAAGTCCACAAAGTTTCCTATGTCATCCATAGTTACTTTGTTGTTCTTCATGAGTCTTTGTCTTAGATTCGTCTGTTCTCTCTTGGATAAACCCACGAAGATGTATTTGGCTTCAGAACCGAAAGATTGGCGAGGCTTAATTGATTTGGATTGGTATCGACCATGGTATCTTGACTTCGAGGAATGGTAACCACGAGACCTTGAAGGAGGATGGGATGGATTTGTGTTTCTTCGGCCAGAGTCTCTTGGTGTCCGAGAAGGCGAGTGTCTTGCTTCTGGAGACTGATCTTTTGGTGTCCGAGAAGGCGAGTGTCTTGCTTCTGGAAACTGATCTTTCGTGTTATCTCTCGGATCTCTCGGATGACCATCATCCTTATCCTTGTCATCATTTCTCTTTTCCCCCTTTTTGGCATTATCAGCACGTGGTAGGAGGGACAAAGGAGATCTTATTGACTGCAACCAAGATATCCTGGGCATACCCGAGAAGTTGAAGAGCATATTCTCCCAGTTGGTATGCATTGTCTTGATAAGTATCAATCTTGGTACATGCTAGGTCGACACGCTCTTTAAGGCTAAAATGAGATTGTTTGAGCTCGTGTTGTTATCGTGCAACTTTGTTCATAGTGGTGTCCAGTTCATGAAGTCTCTTAGCTATTCGCTCAAGAAACTTGTGATCAGATTGAGCTTGTTGAGACGGTTAAGGTTGTTCTTGAGGTGGAGGTGGAGGTTGAGATTGGGCAGCCATCAAAAGATCTACCTTCTTGCATAGATCATCTAAGACTTTCGTGTCCTTTTGCCGTAAAGCGAGATATTGCACATGGATGGTTTCGGCTGAATGGACAGTTTTTCTCATGAGGTTCATGATAGTTCGTGGAGACTCTGCAGTAGACTCTTCTTCAATGTTTGTTGGTGTTGTTCCCATTTGTTCATCTTGATGTGGTGCTTCCCTTTTTCCACCACTTGCCGAGCTGAGAAGAATTGGTGAGGCTTCCAGTTTGCCCTCACGCACAATTTCGTTCTCTTGCTTGATCGGAGTCTCGTCCATGGGTTGGACATGTGGAACTATAGCACGAGACAAATCTTCGGGATGTTCATTTGAAGCTTCTCCCAGGTCATCACTGTCAGAAGGTAGTTTCCTTAAGGGAGATCTTTGTGGGAAGGTATCATAATCAGGACCGATCAAAATTGGATCACTGTCTTCGGGATCGGTTTCCTCAACATTTGCATTGCCCAGTTGATCATCATTGTCATCATCATCATCATCGTTGTCATCATGCTCGTCATCGACATCGTCAACATCATCATCATTATCATCTTCATCTTCTTCTTCATTCTCATCACTTTCGTCTTCTTCAATTTCTCGTCCAAGCTCATCTTTCGTGCCACTAACATTGCAGTTTGGATCATTTTGATGTTCCTTTTCTATCGTGGTCTTGATCTTTGATAGCAGCATGGCATATCGAAGTTGCTTCATTTCTCCTTCCACAGCAGGATCCAACGGTGGTTTGTTAAGTTCAATGCAGATTGGAGCTTTGTCTCTCCCGAGAGTGCGATTTGTCATCTTGTATGAGAATACTAGATTGATTTCTTCAAGACGCAGAGCTTTGTAAACGCCATCTGTGCCAACCCATTTCAGAGCAAAGTCTTCTTCGTCTTGCATAGCCTCAAAGGTTTCAACAAAAGTCCTTAGAGGAGCAGTGCGCCACTTTTGCCACTGCAGAACTCGTTGATAATCGCTTTCAATCGATGCTCGGAGAATTTGATCTGGTGTTGGTGCTTTGGGAGCTGGAACAGAAAGATTCAGGATAATGGGAGTTGCGACTGGTACAGCAGCTGTCTCTTCTACCAACACAGGTTCTTGTGTCAGATTAACCTGCTCTACATTGGTAGGTTCTTGTGGCAGAGATATCTCATCAACGAATATAGCAGACGCTTCTTTCGTCTTTTCTGGCGAACCAGGTTCTTGTGGAAGATTTAAGCATCTGGCCTCCATTTCTACATCAGCAGGTTCTTGTGTCAACTCTCGGAGAAGTTGCTCTGCCAAAGTAGGTTCTTGTGGATGTAGGACTTGAGACGAAACGAGATCGGTTTCTGGATTTTGATCAGCATAAAGAGTTTCAGGAAGGACAACTTTCGGTTGGGCTCCCCCCTCAGAAAGAGCTTCGTTTAGAACTTCTTCCCCCTGTGAAGGTGCTTCTCTCATGTCTGCTACTTTCGGTGTAGAAAGTTCCTTCGGGGAAGGTTTAGGCTTGACAGGAGACCGAAAGTGACCCTTTTTGATGATTCTAGAGAGTACCAGATTGTCTTCTTTGGATGAATCCTTTACAATGATTGTTTCTGGCGGTGGAGTAGGATCTTTCTTCTCTTGAGGAGATTTTGGAGGAATTGGAACAGGTGGAGTAGCTTCTGCCTTCTTTGCCTTACTCCGAGAGGAGTGTTTTCTTGCTTTTGTCGTTTTGGCTTGGGTTGATCATCCTCTGAAACCCTAGGAGTTCTCGACTTCCTCTTGGTTTTAACCTGCTCAATAGGAATCCCTAACTCCAATGACTTCTGCTTGTCATACCCCGATGGTTTCGTCTTCATATGACAGGCTTTCGGTCCTGGCCGAATTCCAGGGCGCATTAAGACTCCTTTGGTGACAAGAAGATGACTTATCACAAAACCATACCCTAACTTCTTGGCAATGTCTCCTGGACTCTTCCTGTGATAGGTGATGGTGTGGGCGAGATTGTTGAAGATGATCTTGGACCAGTCAACTTTGAGTTCATTCAGAAATGCATGCAGCATTTTTAATTTCTCCTTCGTCACATCATCAGTGCCCGAGGTCTTGTGATCAACAATTTTGTTGAAGATATCAACGGTGAACTCATAATCTAGCCGGAACCACTTCTTCTTTAACGGCCATGTGATTTCTGTCTTGGAGGGGGCTTGATTGTTCTTGATAGAATCATAGAAGTCCTCTAGATCGAGATGATAATACATAAAATCAGACTTGTAGGTTTCATCTCTCTGTGGAAACCCGTATGTAGATCGAACGTCTTCTGAGGTAAGGACCACATGATGATTATTGACTCTGGAAGTAATGGTCAGATAATCAGAAGATATGGAAGCATTCATATAGAACTGAGTTACGTCAATGGGGTGCCATATAGTATAAAGATGTGTGATGAAATTATACAACCCTGTTTCTGTGAGGAGTCGAATGATGTTTTCGCCAAATCTTCTGTCCAATATGTATTCAAGAAATCCATGCGCATCCCACATGCTACCTCCGACGATAAACGGTACTCTGGATTCGATGAACCTCAAGTTTTCAGTTGGAAAGCTTGGGATCTCCAGGATGGATGGTGTTTCTGGTTCTTTATCAGTGGGTGAAGCTTGTGAATGTTCCGCCATTGTTAAGGATTTGAGAGATAAAGAAGTATGGAGGATGAGAGTAGAGACTGTGTGAAAAAGGTAAGGTAAAATGAGAGAAAGGTTTAAGTAGGGTTTTATAGGACTCCGGGTAACCGGTTATGGGTAACCCACTTAGAGATGGATTATTTGAATTTCAAACATACTACCGGTTCCTCTTCTCCAATAAGGTAACTGATCATCGTGGGGGAGTGATAAGATCGTGTGCAGATCAAAAACGATCATTCCTCCATTTAATGAGGAGAGAGAAAAGCACTTGAGTGTTTATGGGTGCATTAAATGCACGTCACATCCAGTGTCAGACAGAGTGGGATAGTGGACCATTTTTCTCGGCCACATGATCCCATTAAGATCCATCTAAGCGGTTGGGATTAAAAGCTGAAAAATGAAGCATCTTAGGCACGATTCCAAACCCGAAGATAGATAAAATTATCATAACATAAGATTTGTGAGACAAATAAAGTCAAACAAATCCTTTTTACAACAACAAAGATGCTCTTCCCGAGAGACTTATTACACAGAACAGAACATGACATAAACGATTACGATCTCTCGTGCATTAGAGGGCAAGATTGCCTTTTACTCAATGCTACCCTTCTTCTTTCGTGCATACTCAAAGTACTCCTTCTTTCGGATCTCATGAGCAACCACTTCAGCGATGAGTGTCTCGTGATCTGCTCCGAGTGTTTCTCTAGAGAGACCTTGTCTCTCCATGTCATCCAGTTCAGCCAAGACTTTGGCTTTAGCAAAAGCGTACAGTGCACGATACCTTTCTTCGTGCTTCAGAAGTGGTGTGAGTTGAACAAGAGAGTAGAACTCTGAGATGTCTGGTTCTTTCCCAGAGGGTGAACCTTTCTCAACTAAGTTTCCGAGATCAGGGTGAGACATTTTTCCAGGCACATATAAGCTCTCGGGTGTGAGGGCCATTTCCTTCCCTTTATCTATGAGCTTGAAGAATGTGTGGAGTGATTCCATTGTTACGTGAGAAGGTTCATTAAATAGAGAATAGTGTCTCTCAAAATATGTGTCCGAATGACTTGACCAAGGCACGCCTTAGGGAATATATTCATTTCCAAGAAGGCTGTCCTTGATCCGAGATTTTAAGCATAGGACAACTGAGACAAGTACAGTCTCGTTTAATAACTTTTAAAGAAAAGCAGAGCCAACAAAGTTTTATTACTCATAAAGCCGAGAGAAGATAATACATAGATAAGATACAGAAACTAAGGGATCAATTCTTCTTTCTCTCGTTCTTCTTGACTCCAGACGACTCATCTTTCGCCTTTTTCAGATTTCCCCACATCTGCTTGTACCATTTTCCGGTACGTGGGTAGTTGGATCCAGATGAGGACTCAGGTTCTTCCTCCTTGTCATATGTCTCTTTCTCACGCTCTTGTTTCAGAAACTCCATATAGTCTCGATCACGGAACTTGCTAGGATCCTCAGGGATGACTTGAGTTGGGTCCTTTGAAATCCTTTCTTCACTTTCAACGATAAAGCCAGCCATCTCATCATATTGAAGGGATGAGTCGGAATCAGAGAGAATTTCCACTGGTGCTTGTGGACTGTTACCAGGATAGAGATCACCTTGTTCCTCCCGGATATGTCTAGCAATCTCTCTGAGTTTGTGAGAGTCACCTCTAGTGAAAGGTTTCTTTGGAGCCATGGTGAGGAAGAGAGATGGAGATGATGTGAAGAATTCACCTCCTTTTATAGCAAGAGATCCATAAAGTTCATGTGTCTGTTACACATATTTTTCAACGTAGCAATTAATGCACATAAATATATTCAAGGAGTTATCAATTCCAGGCAAGACTTTGATTGTTAAAGCGACTCTTTATTAAGCATTGCTCCAACTTCAATGAACTTAATAGTCAGATAGCTCATAATAAATTATGACACGAGAATACAACACACAACAAATTAGAGAAAGCGATAGGGCACGTGAAGTTCCAGACGAGTCATCTCTTCGGTCACATCAGACAAATTTGTCTTCTTTGCATATTCATCCAGCTCTTCAAGTGAGAGAGTGGGTTCGGGTGAGAGAGAGGAAGACCGAGAGTGAACCATAGTGAAATCTTCATAAGAGTGATCACTAGGTTGGG